AAAAACTGTTGAGGAAAATATCACAAGGAGTTGAAAAACGATTATTAGAACCACCTTCACCTTAAGCTCCAATTAAACTTGTTTTGATGTTTATTACATTCGCATTCCTCTATTGTAATTTGTCATATTTCACCAGCGTTTTCGTGTTTTCCTGGGTTGAATATGAAATTGCAACCCCTAATGTACATGGTTCTCTATTTTTATTTTTGATAGGGATTCTAAAATTACACATGAAGGGTAATCTTTACGGAACGCCCTGAGTATTCAGGATGATTATTATGGTGGAGCACAATGCAATTTTTAAATTACACAATAAAGTTATTACGTACATTTTTGAATTCCAAATACAAAATACACATTTAGCTTGCATGATGCTTTCAAAAAAATTCGAAACACCTTTCCTCTATGTTATTCTTAAGGACTTGCAAAGCAATCAAAAGACTATCATAATTCGTGGATTAGCATTGTTTTGAACAATACTTTGACAGGAAGAACACACAGAGATTTTTCCCAAATATATTCTGCCTGTTATCGAGCTTTGCTTATTATTTGCTGAACAGCTTTGGGCACTTTTTTTTTCTCGAAACCACTCCCAAGACTTCAGATTTTAAGTATCAAATCAAGCTGGTTGTCACGTGCACCCACGATTAAATGTTGTTTCGTACCCCCCACTGATACACGTAGGCCAGAGGGAATGGTTAGGAGAGCCTTTTTTTCCAGCCGTTTCTTTACTCTTTTCGGCTTCTGTTTACTCTTTCGTTTAATTTATTTCTTCCACGAAAAAAAAATCCTAGTTTGCAATTATTTTTCAAATTATTTATATAATTGTATTTTAGTTGTTGTTGATACGTATATCTCTGTACAAAATTAGTCCTAATTTTGATTCGTTTCATGCTAAGAATTAAAAGCAACAGATAGTTTCTTCAGCTTTTCTTGTAGGTTTTTTTTAAACTTTATATGTTTTTTATAAGTATTTCAGAGTTGAGTTTTTTTAAGTATTTCCTGTTGAGTAAAATAATAAATAATAAAAAAAATAAGTAAAATAAAAAAAAATAAGTAAATAAAATAAGTAAAATAATAAAAAAAATTCTGCATTTTCCCAGTTAATTTTACGCATGAAACATGAATTAGTATAGATCATGCACAGAAAAATTGTGACCTGGTCATGTGTTGGTTAAGAGAAATATAATATAGTGAAAGAACAATAAAACGGAAATAGGAAACGAGTAGAATGGGAAGAAATGATAAACGGAGAATACGATACCGAACAATGGAGATAAGAACTGAGTGATGTTTATATGTTTTTTTAAGTATTTCAGAGTTGAGTTTTTTTAAATATTTCCTGTTGAGTTTTTAAAGCAAAAAAAAAGTTCTGCATTTTCCCAGTTAATTTTAGTTAATTTCCCAGTTAATTTCATGCATGAAACATGAAGTAGTACAGATCATGTACAGAAAAATTGTGACTTGGGCATGTGTTGGTTAAGAGAAATATAATATAGTGAACGAACAATAAAACGGAAATAGGAAACAAATAGAATGGGAAAAAATGATAAACGGAGAATACGATACCGAACAATGGAGATCAGAATTGAATGTTCGAAGGGGAAATTTTCAAACAAAATAAAAAGTCTTAAGAATTTTCTTAGAATTTTCTCAGTTAATGTCATGATATTTATGCATGAAATATTAATTTGTACAGATCATGTACAGTAAAATTGCAATTTTGGCATTTGTTTGTTAAGAACGATATAATATAGTGAAACAATTATGAAACAGAAACGGGAAACAAGTAGAATGGGGAAAAAAATGATAAACGGAGAATACGATACTGAAAAATGGAGATCAGAATTGAGTGTTCGAAGGGGAAATTTTCAAACAAAATAAAAAGTCTTAAGAATTTTTCTTAGCATTTTCTCAGTTAATGTCATGATATTTATGCATGAAACATTAATTTATACCGTTCATGAACTGTAAAATTGCAATTTGGGTATTTGTTTGCTAAGAAGGATATAATATAGGAAAAAAATTATGAAACAGAAGCGAGAAACAAGTAGAATGGGAAAAAATTATAAAAGGAGAATGGGGATCAGAATTGATTGCCTGAAGGGGAAATTTTCAAACAAAAAAAAGTTGCAGGAATTTTTTTCAGAATTTTTCAGTTAATTATTATATTTGACAAATTAATGCATGAAATATTAATTTGTACAAATCATGTACAGAGAAATTGCAATTTGGTCATTTCTTTGTTAAGAGAGATGTATAGTGAAAAATCGATGAAACAGAAATAGGAAACAAATCGAATGGGGAAAAATGGATAAAAAGGAGAATATGATATCGAAAAATCGAAATCAGAATTGAGTGCCCGAAGGTAAACTTTTCAAACAAAATAAATAAAAAAATTTTAGTATTTTTTCAATTAATTTCATGAATTTCGTGAAATTTAACATAAAGGCATTGCAAAATTTTTACTTGGGTACTTGTGGGTAAAATATAGTAGAAAAACAATGAAATGAGAAGAGTAATCAAATAGAAGAAAAAAAATTATGAATTGCAGAATACGAAATTGAAAAAAAAGAAACGTAAAGAGAAAATAACAGAATGGAAAAAAACTGGAATATCATTTTCAAATTTTAATTATAGTATTTACTAAATCAAAACAACATCAAGTTAAAAGAAATATTAAATAATACAGACGTGATTGGGCTAATAAATAAATGAGAAAAAATGCCTTAATTTGAACACTGCGTAATAATCTTACAGAAAGTTTTGCTTAAAATCCGATTTATTGAAAAAGTTCTTAATAATTCTTTATTATGAAGTATGCAATTTTTGATGAAAATTAAATGGAGCAAATATACATTCATGGAGTTAAATGGAGCAATGAATGGTATCAAATATAGAAGGAAAAAACCATGAAATAGAGAATGTGAAATAGAAAAATAGGAGGGGAAAATAAAGCTTGTTTCAAGCACAATAAAAAATTTTCAGGATTTTTTGAAATATTTTTTTTTCAGTCAATACGATGACCTTTAACATAAAGATATTATAAAATATCTTTTTGGGCATTTATGTTATACTAAAAGAGAATAGAGTGGAAAAACAATGGAACGAAGATGAAAATAGAATCGAAAGAAAAAAATTAAATAATGAGTACAAAATCTGAAAAAGTGTGAAAACATGGAATAGACAAGGAAATAGCACAGAAACTAAAAAAAGGCTCTGGAATATGAATCTCAATTTTTAATAATAATTGTATTAGCTAAATGAAAAGAAGTTTTAAAAAATGCTTTTTTATTTGTTGTTTTTTGCAAGAAGAAATGTAGTTAACTGAAGATTAAGTTAATGAACAAATGAAAAATAAAATGTCTTAATAGGAACACTACAAATACGTCTGATAGAAATCACTGCCTAAAATCTGATTAGAAAAATTCCTACAGATTTTCTACTTTTAACTATTTTTTTTTATTATCTTGTGGCCCGGAAATCAATAAACGAAATCGGAAAGAAAAGAATAGGTAGAAAATACTACAGAAATTCAAAGTAGTCAGTCCAATTTGATCAATGATCAAGTTGGAACAATTTTTTTTCTCTATTCAAAAATTCATACAATTTGAATTTTACGATTGGAGTACTTTTTACTGTTTTAATAGTTTCAACCTTTTAAAAATTCCATTTTTTCAAGAACTATTCATCTGATTTTACTCAAATTTTGATTTTCGCTAAGTAAAATTACACTTTTTGAAATGATGTATGAAATTGTATACCTTACAATTAATATTTTTATTTACTATTATTAAATAAAATAAAAATAATAAATATTTGCTAACAGTTATATTTTGCATGGAACTATCTTTTGATAAACGGATTTTACAATTATGAGAGAAATTTTTTTAATTCGAGTAAAAAGTTATATAAGATTATAAAAGTTAAAGCGAAATACAAAAAAAATAAAATTAACATTAAGGGGTTCAAACTTTGAACCGCTCTCCTGTCCAAACTATTGTCACCATATTTCCCAAATTACGGCTGCGCCCTATGTTTTGGGGTTGAGAAATCCGAATACGTCGAGAGAAAGGTATGCTTATACAAAAAAAATTACGTTTTTGTGTCAGTCTTTGCAACTCAAAATATCGTCTGCACTAATTAATTAGCATATTTGAACTCATCCCCTTGAACCTTTAAGATTTAGTTCTAGAATGTTAAATTTCACCTTTGCTTCAAGAGTCAGAAATCCAAATCTGCCGAAAAAAAGGTATGTTTATTAAGAAAAAGTACTTTTTTGTGACCAATTTTGCAGCTTAAAATATCATCTGCATTAATTAATTTGTATACATGAGGTCACCCCCTCAAACCATTAAGATTGAATCCCAGACTGTAAAGATCCAATCTTCAAATCCAATATTTTCAAAATGGTCCGTTTTTTTTTTCTTTTTTGCATTGTATATCTACACAATTGGGAATTGCAACCAAAAATTATTACATTGGTAGTAATTAGTAGCCTAAGAAATATCCAGGAATCTCTTCAAGTCCATATTCTTTCTTTTTATGAATTCAAAACACTCTCTGACTTGCGAGAGTAAGATCATGAACAGTTACTGAAACAATGCATTTTGAATGTATACAATTAAAAAGGAAAATTAAAACTTTTAACCTGCATGATAAAACATTGGTAGATAAAACTCTAAAGATGCAATTACAAAAAAATAAAATAAAAATAAAATAAATGTCAATAGATGATAAACAGGAAAAAAAAAGTAAGGAACATCCCCTTATAGTGCAATATTCGTTCTTATGTTCTATCCATATCAAACTATCCTCATGTATATACATAAATTTATTTTCCTAAACACGAACGTACTACCCTTTTTTTTCTGATCTACCAAACTTATGAATGAAATTCGTAATACGATACAGTTTATCCCTTCAAGTAAAGTGACGTCTTCGAACACGTTATTCTTTTTCCCCCACCCCCGGATCTTATTCGTCTGTGGCATGGAAGTCCCAGATGAGTTCCCGCACCCTAAGATCAGGCTCAATTTTGTAACGGAGTGTGATGAGTTAAGTCTTAAAGAGTTTAATGAATTACAATAGCTATTTCGTCCATTGGATATTTTTGTAAATATTTGGAAATGGCTTAATTGTTCTTTACGTACATTGCAAATAATCTTGGATTGGCTATTTTTGCGGTTGGAGTTGATTTTATTTAAGTTATATGAATTTTGAATTTTCATAACATCTCAAATTGGAGAAAAAAAATGTGACATTAATTTATTTAAAGTATTTAGTCAAAAAAGGACATATAGAGTGATTTGATTCTGGCTGGCTGTAGATTGATTTACTAGAATGGGATTAAAAAGGTAAGATTTTTTTAAACCGCTTAGAGATTCATGTATTTATTAACATTTTGTTTAGGAACATTATTAAAAATAATTTAAATATTATAATTTAAAAAGATTGCATTAAAACACTATGTTCATTATTTTATTCTATATTTTATTAAAGTTTGAGCATAAAAGTTATTGATTTGTAAAATGAATATTTTTTAAAGGAATTAATTTTTTGTAGAAAATATATATTGTGAAATTAAATACGCAACCAGTTCTTATGAGCAATAAATCCTAAAATAAATAAAATTTTGCGTGGTTGTTGAATGCATGTTTATTTATCTGCAAATATATTAGCTATTTTAGGTGAATTGGAAAAGGAAATTTTTTTAATTGTTTTTAATTAGGTGACTATACTGATTTTTTTCAAATTTAATAACTTAACTAATTCTTTTTCAAATGGTTAGAAAATTACATTTTTATCGATGTTATAATATGATATAGTTTTTTAATTATTTCATTTAAAATTGTAAAAATAAAGTAATTTTATTATTTTTACACTTAAAAAATAATAATTGCATTTTTATTTATTCCTATAATAGGTTGTATCATAAAAATAACTTAGTTCTATTTTTACAGCATTTGATTTTTCTTCTCTATAGCATTTTTACTCATTTATGTTTTTGCAATTTTTTAAATTACATATTTCTCAAAATTTATGAAAAAAATGGTGGCGTGAAATTTTGAATATAATTTAGATACATTTATATACATTTACAATCATATTTGTCAATAGATACCTTTATTAATTACCTCGTTTTCCGGAAATTAATTAATCCGGATAAAAAACGAAAAAGAAAAAAAACATAATAATGTTCATGGATAACAACCTGTTGTAAGTATAGAAAATACAAAAACAAATAAAAGTGCGAGTATTTTTACTCTATAGCTAAAAAAAACCTTTTTTTAAGCTATGACATTCTAAAATATATGCAAAAATTAGAAGCATAAATTTTCAAATGCCTCCTAAAATATTTGTTAAGTGTTTATGTTTAATTATCAATTGATATCCAGTGATAATGACTCCGATACCTTTGTAATTTTAAACTCATACAAAAGCACAAGGGAATTCTCGAATGAAACATTAGGACGAAGTCGTCTTTTTGAATGAAACTTAACCGCATTTGATGTGCATGATGAGGAAAATCACGAAAACTTACAATGCTTAGCTCAAGAAATTCAGAAGAATGCAATAAATTTGTGAAAGTTTTAAATGTAAGCCCCTGAAAAGTTGAAGAAGAATTAAAAAAAGTTTCTTCTTTTTGCTGATAAACTTGTCACACTTATATTTTTATTTCAACATTTTTCACAGACATTGCCCTATAACTCAATTTAAAAAGTACCTTTACTATAAAGTTGTCGGAATTTTTTACTTAAACAAATTAAATTCCTTTTAGAAGTTGTAATAAGCGAATTAATTTTAGAAGTTTACTGGCACTTTAGCTTTAAAAAATTCGAAGTCACATAGTTCTGATCAAAACCTGAAAAACAGAATATGAACATAGTTTAGGAAATTTGAATATTTTGTTCATTTTAAAGCTTCATTTCCGAAATAAAATAATTGATTTAACTGTCGTCATTTCGGTTAAAAAAATGTTCATTGGAGCATATGCAACAAGAAAGTTTAGAATATATTCTACCAATGTTGAATTGCAAGAAGGTATACTCTTATTTTATACAAGAAATGTGGGTAAAAAATCATCTTTAAATTTTGTATAAAATTACTTTTTAAAATTTCTCTTTCCATAATAGTTTTTACTAAAAAAATTGTTATTTCCTGTGTTTTATTTTGTGGAGAATCAGAACGCTAGTTACCAAAAAACAATTTAAAGAAACAAAAAAAAGAACTCTAATTCAGACAGTATCTCATTTCAAAATAGTAACTATATTAACTTCTAAACTATATTGACTTTTCAGGAATTTTATAGTATTGAAAACCAATATTTGTTATACAATTTTACGTTTTATTAGTTTGTAAATTTAAAAATAATGTCGCAAATGACCCAAGTCCAATATTAATTGTTTTGTTTGGAGGGATGTCGTAAGATGTATTAAATTTTGAATTTTAATAAACTCAATACAATGTTCGAAACATCTCGCAAATATCAATAAGTATCGCACCAACATTCCGAAAATTCTTCTCAATTTTAATCCATTAAGTCAACGACCAATATTTTTCTTTCGTTTTTTTCAAAATTTTTTTTAATCATATCTTGAAAGATACTTAACCTATTTATTTTAAATTTTGAAATTCAGAAAAAAAAGATGAGTAGATTTACTACTAATAAAGTATTGTTTGCCCACTTTTTGTGGTGCACAGTAAGAAATTCCAGATGAAACTGCGGTTGAAGGCACCGGCACCCTAGGTACCGTTACCTTTTACCATAAGATCCATTTCTACCGAAAAAGCTTACGGAACAAAAAATTTGATGTACTATGATTTTTACTGTAAAATCTTGAAATCTGCATCATTAAATAAATATTACTGTAAAATTAACAATATTCTACGGTAAAAATGATTTTTGCGTTAAAATGGAATTTACGGATGATGCGCACAGGGTGGCAGTACTCTTTACCGTAATTTGATGTGGATTTCCTTGATAGTGAGTGCATCATTATATTCTATTTTTTTTACTAAAATAGAACCACCGTAGCAGTCACACTGCATATTTTACCCCTTGTATATTTATCCCAGTATCAGAATGATCTATTTCTTCTTAATTATGCTACGATTTCATCGTCCACTTATTTTTTAATAATGTTTACAGAACAAGTGATATTTATGTCTAGCAGCAAATTTTAGGGAAAACAAGGTTTAGTCATTTCATAAATCCTGTAATTGAGAGGTTGGTGGGATGATGATAAGTAAGGAAAAGGAAATGCCATTTCCATCATCCACTTATTTTTAAGTAATGTTTACAGAACAAGTGATATTTATGTCTAGTAGCAATTTTTAGGGAAAACACGACTTGGCCATTTCATAAATCCTGTAATTGAGTGGTTGGTGGGATGATGATAAGTATGGAAAAGGAAATTCCATTTCCATCATCCACGTATTTTTTAAGAATGTTTACAGAACAAGTGATATTTATGTCTAGTAGCAATTTTTCGAGAAAACACGACTTGGCCATTTCATAAATCCTGTAATTGAGAGGTTGGTGGGATGAGGATAAGTAAGGAAAAGGAAATTCCATTACATCATCCACTTAATTTTTAATAATGTTTACAGAACAGGTGACATTTACGTCTAGTAGCAATTTTTAGGGAAAACACGACTTTGTCATTTCATAAATCCTGTAATTGAGAGGTTGGAGGGATGATGATAAGTAGGGAAAAGAAAATTCCATTTCCATCCTAATAAACCTGTGGCGAGAGTAGAGATCGACAATGCCAAATTTCATCTATCTAAAGGTACCTTAAGATTGAATCGAGTTAGCTTGTCTTATATACTAGTGAATTGATGTTTAATAATCTTAGTGGTAGTTACTCCACAATACTCTCCCACCAGAATTTTATCAGGGATGGAATTCGATGAACGGATACCACGGATTGTTGCCGTATTTGTGAAAGACTGAGGGAAGTGTATTACGTTTACCGAAATTGAGCGCTTGTGGTGAGAGCTGTATTTAGTTCACAGAGTTCTGAGTGTTGGCCGTGAGAGCTGTATTAAGTTCACGGCTGCGTGTGTGTGGTTTATTCTGTGTTGCTATTAGCAGTTGAGTGTGCGCAGGATCCCGTTGTGAATAAATGAGACTGAGAAGCAACAGAGCGAAGAGAATATTGCCGCAGTCACAAATAGCAAGTAAATTTTTCAATGTGTATTATCCATTGATAGGCGTGTTCATAGCACGTACGTGTATCACCACTGTTGGTAAGGTAGTGGTTATAGACAGTGCCAATCTTCATCTATCAAAAGGCACTCCAAGATTGACTCGAGTTAGCACGTCTTATATCCTAGTGAATTGATGTTTAATATTCGTAGTGATAGTTACGCCACAAATTAATCTAATGACGTCAAAATAAATTTTTGCTAATAAAAAATTTAATTTAATAAAAAAATTTAAAATTTAAGAGTGTTAAAATAATTTGCTAATTTGGGGATTATTTATTATTCATTAAATAGAGGGTTTTGCCTTCTTTAATCGGGGGAATGAAAAATTCACTAAACCAATAAAATCGGTAAATCGAGGTTCGTTAAATCAACTTCAGACAATACTTCAATTAATGAGATAACTTTTAAATGCTATAATGAAGCATATTATTTCTCCCCTATACTCATTTATCGTCAAATTTTAAAAAAAAACGCCACTGTTCTACGCTGTAATTAATTTCTGAACAACGATAAGAATCCTCGCACGAAACACCTGCCTTTTTTGAAAATGTTCCATGATCGAAACGTGATGAACTGTAGTTGAAATCAATTAATCTAGAAACAAACACCTAAACGAGACAATTACCTTCGAGTAGTGAGTGAGGTTGCAAAGTTGAATGCTAATAAGCAAAATTTAAGGTTAATTCCCGAACAATACAGTTAAGTTTAATCATAAAAAGACACGAATGTCCATGACAATTTTTTTAAAAGCTAATGTAACGAAAGGAGTATCGTAATTTAGAGGGTGACAAGAAGTAACACGGATTACCTTTAATACACCAAAGTTTTTACATTTTTGTGTTAAATATTTTATTTTATAACCGTCGATGAACAGCCGAACCAGTTCTTTGGGCTTACTACTAATGTTCAACTTCGTAACCTTGTAAATTTGAATGCAATTCAGAAGACAAGGGAACTCCTGGATTAAGTATTGGAAGAAATTTGCTTCCTGGAGGACTTTTTCATGGAACTAATCCGCATTTGCGTTACATGGAGGGAATAATCACGAAAATCTCCCTCGGTTAGCCCGGCGGCAAGGAGAGTCTAACCCATGATCCGTTAACCACTGAGGATGTTTTACATCAGCACTGTGGTCGGTGTA